AAATATTATAATAGTAGTATTTATGGCTGGCAGAAGTAGATACAGGGCCAAGTTCTTCTGTGTTTGGAAGGTTGAGGCAGTCCTAAGGTGACTGGACAACATGGAATGAATTGTGGTGTCCCAGGTGAACAGATGATGCTATTTTAGTTCTGGAAGTCAGGCATTCGGAGATTTTTACCTAAAGTTTTTTTTGCAACATAATTCATGCAAATGTTTGGACTTCTTAGAATGGATCCTAAGTTGTACCCTCTCCCTTTCCCAGAAGGAAAGGAAACTATTAACCAGAACAACAATGTTGGATATTAAATAGCTACATCTTATCATTGGCTTTCTTTCTTGTGATTGTTAAATACTGTTGAAAGTTATTGCCCTTTTGTGTAATCCATTTAGAAATTTGACTAGATTCTAACAAGTTAGTATAATGGTATCCATCTTTTTCAGAGCAATATTCATCCAAGATCTTAGCATTGGTTGAAAAGTAAAGATTTCAAGTACTTTGAATTCCTTTAAGACTTCATAAATTACAGAGCTCCCAAACAAATTTGTCAATAAAAACAATAAGGTATAGAGGTAAAGATTCCTGAAAAGGTTATTGCAACTCATAATGAGATTCTTCCTACATATAAGGCACTGCATTGGACTGTCCTTCTCAGTTAATTCACAGATAGCAACAATCCCATCTAAAAATGAAAGAGTTTTGAAATTATCTCAGAAAATATCAGAGAACAGGACAAAGATTAATTGTTATAGGACTGAGCTGAAAAAGTAAATCTTTTTTTGCTAATTAAAAAAATTTCAAGTAATCTCTACATCCAATGTGGGGCTTGAACTCAGGACCCTGAGATCAAGAGTCACATGCTTTTCCAATTAAACCAGCTGGGTACTCCAAAAGTAAATCTATGTATTTTTTTTAAAGAATTTTAATTTAAAACTATTTTTTAAGTGTTTATTCATTTTTGAGAGAGAGAGAGCACAAACAGGGGAGGGCCAAAGAGAGAGAGAGAGAGGAAGACACAGAATGCAAAGCAGGCTTCAGGCTCTGTGCAGAGCCTGACACGGGGCTCGAACTCATGAACTGTGAGATCATGACTTGGGCTGAAGTCAGATGCTTAACCGACTGAGCCACCCAGGTGCCCTAAAAGTAAATCCATCTTGATGAGACTTATGAACTCTTTAGCTATTAAATGCCAAGATCCCCTTTTTCCAGACCTTCTCCACCTGTAACTCATTATATAGATTGTTGGCCTAACTTCTTTACAAAATGGGCATAAGATCAGGCATCTACTGTGAATTCCTGGGAAACTGCTGATTGTTAAAGCACGATGAGGTTATTTCTTCCCCCAAAATCATACTTAAAAAGAATTTTATGTGTGTAGATACAGTACTACCTATTCACTAGTGTGTCGATAGTGAACAGCATAGGCACTCAGTATTGTTAAATGAATAAATGAATGACAATGTTTACATGATGCTTGATGGATTATCTGCCACAAGAAAGGCTAAGATGTTGCAGGTCACTAATGCAATAAAATCAGACTTGGGGTTGGGTGGAAGGAAAGAGGACCTGAGTTCAAATATAACGTGGGCCACTAACTTACTCTATAAATTTAGGCAAGTCACTGAACTTCTCAGGGACATATTTAGAAACGGAAGGAGCTGTGCTGCTTTTACTGAGTGATCTCTGGTTTCTCTGGGCTCAAATGGCCTTTGTCTTGGATAAGTTCTTCTATTCCAGTTGGGAAAAGGTCTCTGTGGCCTGACACATTGGGTTACCCTCCAGCCAGTCTTGGGAAATGTCCTCCTCTTTCTTGTCTTCTCTCTCAACAAAATGCAGTCCTACTCCAGTTACCTCTAGTACTGTGAAAGGAATTTTACCAGAAAACAACCTGTAGTTTAAGCCATATTAATAGAATCAATTAAAGGTACAGAAAGAAGACATGCACATTCATAATCCAGCACTGTCTAGCATAAGACCCAATTTTTACTTAAAATATTTTTGTCTTCTGATGTTTCTATTCAATCATTTAAGTCTGACTTTATTTTAGGCTCGTTTCTTCCCTCGCCTCCCTTCCTGCCTCCCTTCTCCTTCATTCCTCTCTCCTTCCATCTCTGTCTCTGTCTCTTCCCCTCTGACTGTCTGAAACATATATTAGTTGTCTTTTTTCAACCCACTAAATCCAGTTTCCCTAAATTTCTAATGCTGTTAAGTGGTCCAGCAGTTTCTCCAGAACGTGCTGCATGCCCATGGAATATTTTGATTATCTCTTTAGGTATACCTTGCCTATTTGGTTGCCTAGCTCTTACAAAATTGCCTTCACCTCTCTCCCCTAACTTTGGTCTTCCAGGATTCTCTCCCTTCCTACCTACCCCTTCTTCTCTTGTGTGCCTTATACTCCTGGATTGTTCAGATAAGGCTGGTCCCGCAATCTTGGCACTCAGGCCCAGTCTGAGCCCTTCTAAATAGATATTTTAACATAGACACTACAGAAACTTAAGCCCTGATCATTTGGAAAGTTAAAGTGGCAGATAATCTGAAAAATTGGAAGAGAAAGAGAGAGAGAAACAGGGAGAAAGAGAGATGGGTGGCATGGGGGGAAGAATCAAGAGGAGCTCTTGCTTTATCCATGTAAAGTTTCTTTATAGCATGCAGAGTCTCAGCTTTCTTCTTTTTATGTTTTCCAGCTTTTTAAAAGTTTCATCCCTTTTGCTTTGTGTTCTTTTTTTTTTTTTTAATATTTTATTTATTTCTAGGAGAGAGAGAGAGAGAGACAGCATGAGCAGGGGAGGGTCAGAGAGAGAGGGAGTCACAGACTGAAACAGGCTCCAGGCTCTGAGCTGGCAGTCAGCACAGAGCCCGACAAGGGGCTAAAACCCACAAACCGAAAGATCATGACCTAAGCGAAAGTCGGACGCTTAACCGACTAAGCCGCACAGGCGCCCCTTGCTTTGTGTTCTTAAAGAGAAAAGGGGATTCTAAAATTGTAGCTTTTTTGAGCCACCAGAGGGTCTTTTCTGTACACCTGCCCACTCTGAAATAATTGGTTTGTCTACTTTCACAAGAAGCAGGTATTTGTATTAAAGAATCACTTGGCATCAATGCCCAAGTACAGATGTCTTATCATATAAGACTGTGCCTCATTCAGAAAACTCAAGATAGAGTAAAATAAATTAACAACATCTTGGCTCTGTGCTCCAATCACAACTGTTAATTTAACAGGGTTATGCTTCCATCTCTGAGCAAAGTGTTCCTGGCAGAGACAGCTGCTCCCGTGCCCCAGATTGTGCTGTGTGCATCCCAGTAGGAGTTATCAGAGCAGCAGGATGGAGGGAAGGTGGTAGTGCATCAAAGAACTGAACAGTGTCACAGAATGGCATTGGGAAGAGGGAGCAGAATGGCCTCTCCCAAGTGCTTTTCATCTACTCCTTCGTTCTCTATGTGGATACATGCACAGTTAACTGAGGAAGAAGAAAAACTTGTCTTAAAATTTTTTCCTGGAAAATTGTCAGTCCTGCTTTTACTCTTCTATGTAGCTAATTGTGAAAACTACCTTTGTATATCCACCAGCATGTTGATGAATCTATATAGCCACAGGCCCGTATGCCTGTCCAACGAATGTCAAATAGACCTACATTATGATTAGCAAATCTGGGTCACTGGGTCAGAGCTGGTATGACAGATAGAACAACTCTTGCATTGGCCTGCTGTGGCTTACCTCCTAAACCGGAGTGGAGGTCAAGATCAGGCCAAAGTCAAGACGCGCCAACCATAGGACCTGGTGCATGATATGCACTCTTCTATTATCAGTCTTTTGAAGGACATTTGCTGCGTTGTTCACTGTTGTATTACCCCATTGCCTAGAACAGTGTTCACAAAAGTGAACAAAACTTAAATGTTCAAAAGTTGAAGAAATGAATGGAGACTATAAGTAACCATATGAGGGCACCATGGTGAGCAATGGAGCTATATAGAATTTTGTGTACTTGCTTATACATTTCTTTTCATGACTATACCTTTTCTGCCTATCTTCTGATTTAATTTCCTTACGGAAAAAGTTATTTGCACCATACGTTTTTCTATAAACGTTAAAACCAAATGGTAAGAAAATTTGTGTTCTAGTCTCTTGCCTTCCATACCAGGATGACTCCATTAGTGATAATAGAAAACTGATTCTAGGGTTAAATTGCTTTGGGAATAAGAAATTGTGATTTAGTGAGTATATACTACTCTTTCAAAAGTGGAAACAGTGTTTTCCATTCTTTTTTGTTTGTTTGTTTTTCACTAAAAAAGTGGCCATTTTCTGTATTCAAATATTGAAGGTCTCTGTGTTGATTACTGATATGAGACCACAAAGAGATCAAAGTAGACATCATTTTGTGACCAGCATTCTAAGTTCAGATTCTGAACAAATCTCTCAAAGCCCTGAAACTCATCTGCATTTTGCACTAAACCCTGATGGATTTGTTGTCTAAATTTTATCATACTCTTGGCCTTAGTCCTGCGAGTTTCCTGACTGGACTTCAAATCTTGGGGACACAAATAGACTTTTTCATGATTATTTTTTTAAGCCATCACATTTTTCACAGAGTCCCCTTTCCAGCACCCTGAAAAACCACTATCTTTCACAGCTCTTTGATGAAAACCTAGGATGAATGTAATTTGAATTATCAAGGGACATCTTTTAAAAAGCTGGTTTAAGTTTGTAATGGAGAGACATTGAGCTGGGGAAAGAAATACATATAAAATAAGGCCAGTGACTCTGGAAGGCCAAAAGGACATTAGTTTTCCCATCAGATAATGTGTTCTCTACTTAATTCTCCATCATGGAGAGGAGAAGGCTTGATATGAATTTCCAGGGTATTACTGATTTCTTTACTACAACTATGGAGCCTGAGAGAAAATAAATCATTTGATGAATATTTGTTGACTGCTGTAATTTGAAGGAGAAGAGCATCACTCCATCTCTTCTGTTTTTTTCTTAACCCCTTTTTTCTCCACAAAGGTTGAAAAAAATGATGAGGACCAAAAGATCGAACAAGATGGCATCAAACCAGAAGATAAAGCTCATAAGGCCGCGACCAAAATTCAGGCTAGCTTCCGTGGACACATAACAAGGAAAAAGCTCAAAGGAGAGAAGAAGGGTGACGCCCAAACTGCCGAGGCTGAAGGGAACGAGAAGGACGAAGCCCCTGCTGCTGATGGCGTGGAGAAGAAGGAGGGAGAAGGTCCCACTCCCACTGACGGGCCCCCTGCCAAGCCTGAGGAAACCGGCAAGGCAGGAGAAACTCCTTCCGAGGAGAAGAAGGGGGAGGGCGCCGCTGATGCTGCCACAGAGCAGGCAGCCCCCCAGGCTCCTGCCCCCTCAGAGGAGAAGGCCGGCTCTGCTGAGACAGAAAGTGCCACTAAAGCTTCCACTGACAACTCGCCGTCCTCCAAGGCCGAAGACGCCCCAGCCAAGGAGGAGCCTAAACAAGCCGACGTGCCTGCTGCTGTCACTGCTGCTGCTGCTGCCACCACCCCTGCTGCAGAGGATGCTGCTGCCAAGGCAACAGCCCAGCCTCCAACGGATGCTGTGGAGAACAGCCAAGCCGAGGAGAAGATAGGTGAGCAATTGCGAGGGTCCCACGCCAGGGGTGGGTGGGCCAGAGGGGCCTCCCGGAAAGGCCAGGCCACTGGGGGTCATTGAGGCAGAGGAGAAAAGTCTAGAAGGTTTTTCAACGAACAAAGAGAAGCTGTGCTTAATTCTCCAAAGTGGCAGGGCTAAGAGCTAAGTCTGGCCACTCACATATCTCCAAGCCTGCGAGAGAACTCAGGCAGGTCTGTGTAGCCGCCAGTACTAGAGAGAGCTGCCAATTATCTTGTTAACTGCATTGACATCAATAGTAAAACTAGGTAATCCTGATTTTACCAAAAAAGGATTCTGTGTGCTGGATACACTTAATTTAATAAGTAATTACTGAGGCTACATATATTTTATAGATGGGAATTAGCTAATATGATTATTTGGCTCTAGGAAGTGCCTGGTTATAAATACAGCCAACTCCCTATTGGTCCAGATGATCTAGTTTGTGAATTGCTGGCAGCAAAAACATAATCTCAGACCACCTTTGCCTATCCCACAGTATGTTTCTGGGCATTCTCCCCACCATCAATTGGTGAGTAGTGTGTGTATGTGTGTGTACGCTCAGAGAATGTTAATTGTAACATTGAATCAGGGTCAAACTAATTAGGAAAATGTCTGTTGATGTTGCCAAAAACAAAATAAAAACCCCAAATATAGAACATGCTGTGAAGTCAAACATAAATTATCATTTTATTATTGAAGATGCTGCTTTCTACCATATGCATACATAGAGGGTCGACTATGATTATAAAAAGGAACTAGATTCTCTTTGGTTTGGAGCATCTTACTTGAAAGCTGGACTATTTTCACTGTTATGGCCCAAAGAGTCTGTGCAGAATTGGGAAAGAGCATTCCCAGACCAAGATCGATTTAAAAGAACTTCACCTCTAGAGACTAGACCCATGCCTCACCTTAACCATCTGTAATGGTGAAGCAGGTCAACAGTCTCCAAGATTTTTCTCTAGTCTAATATAACCCATGAATATCTTTCAGCCTCAAAGATTTTAAAGATAAAGTTTCTTCTGTGCCAGTTTAAAAGTTTGGGTTTACTTCTTTCAAATTTTGTGAACTTAACTCATGATGTGTCCAAGGACCCTCCTTTGGACTGGACCACATTGTGCCCTTGAGAAAGCACCTACTCCATAGGGGTTGTCTGGGAAATGTTTTGGCATCTGACCATTATGTTGAGAAAGTAATCATGGGACATTCGCTTTGATATTCATTTTAGATACTATATTAGATATTACAGAATGGCAGATGATTAGTTTAAATGTTTTCAAGTCTACTTTTTTCATCTTACCCCCCAAATTCTGTAAGAAGCCAGACTATATTAATTATTATTGTTATTAGCATTCTCTAGCTCCAGACAAATCACACACCTCTTTTTACCAGTGACTCATTTTAAATCTTTATTCTAACTACATATCAGCAGTAGGGGTCAGACCTTGTGGTTAAGAAGATGGGGATATTTCCCTAGAAAAGGTAAGGCACAAGATGAAGAATGGGGTTTCGATTTTATTTTACTCATCAGAACAAACCTTATTAACTACTTTTTTGGTTGTTTTTTTGTTGTTGTTCTTTTGTTTCATTTTGTTTTTTATTGTAATTCCAGTTAGTTGACATATAGTGTTATAGTAGTTTCAGGTGTACAACATAGTGATCAGAAATTCCATACATTACCTGGTGCTACCTGGTGCTCATCACGGTGATTACAAACAATAATAAGTCTGTTGTTTGTAAGCCACCTGGTCTATGGCCTTTTGTTACATTTCTTAATCTCCATCACCTATTACACCCGTCTCCCCACCTACCTCTTCTCTGATAACCGTCAGTTTGTTCTCTATAATTAGGAGAGTTAACTAATTTTTCTTTAGCTTCCATATGATGGCTGGAAATCACTTTGTATATGACAGATTATTATATTATTTTCATAAATTTAAAAATTAATCATGATTTTAGAAACTAAATATTTAACGATACTAAAGTTGTATTTTTTTGAGATTTCTAATGTTGTGAGAATAAATAAAGACGCGATATAATTTTAGGTTTGTGCTCATGATTTGGATTAATAGAAAGAGGGACTGCTTGAATCAATAGAAGTCTAAAATTTTTAACGAAATTCAGTTTCATTATTTTGCAAATTATGGTGATTCCAAATGAATTAATGAAGTATTTTATGTAGCACGTGCTCAGTAATGTCCAGTGATGGATGAATGAATGAAATTGACTAGATTTAATTTGTAGATAATAATTTCTTCACTCACTCATTCCTCCTGCAAACTGGCTTAGTCTTTTCACTTAATTTGATTAAAAATGTGTTGGGTTTTTGTAAGCAAATGGAAATTGTGTTCTGTCCTAAATTTTACAGATTATAACTGAAAAATGTCTCCATTAGTCTGAGTTTGAAATGTACATTGAAAGGTAATTGAAACTGTGGGTGAAGTACTTGAAAATAATCACAAAAGACATTTTATTTTACATTGTTTCTGAGTTTGGGGTAGGTATAGTCATGTTGGTTACATTCTGAAATGCTGCCTGTAGTTTCTATCCCAACTGATGTGTCTATTAGCCTTGCCTGCTGTCTGTGACAAGCACAAATTACCCAGGTATGATGAATTTCAGGAATCACAGAAACTAGAGGTGACAGAGAAATCTATCACAGCATAGCAGGCCCAAATTCCCAGGAGCCCTGTACCGTGTTTTCTTCTATCTCCCATTGGATTTCATTCCAGTCCAGGTTAAAATAACAGTATTTCCAATTGAGCTCTACTGTCTGGAGATAGATGGCTACCCTGAGTTGCTGTAGGATTCTACGGCTGTCTGGATGGGTATAGAGAGACAAGCAGAGAGGTTGGAGTGGGGTTCAGGGCATAACAAATCACTAGAGAGAATTCAGGACAATCATTTCTGTCAGCAAGAGAGTCAAACAACTTAGACTAAATCTCATCACTGCTTTAATACAAACGGAAATGCTTTGTAAATTGTAAATATGTTTTTTCACTTCTTTTATTCTTTATGGGTTTATTACAGGTGGATGCCCTTTACATTAATCTTTGGAGTTAGTTAGTTTTTGTTTTCTTTTTCTTTTTTTAAATCCCCCAGCTGTATCTCCCTCTCTCTCTGCTTTGCCCCTCTACCTGCCTATCTCTTGATATGCATATGACCAAGAGACTTCAGTGCCTTTCTAATGATGAATTTTTTTTGTAGGAGGAGGAGTGTTTAGGCATATCTAGGACCCTGCTCCCCTTTAGCCATGAGGAGAGAACTTTCAAGCTGCCTTTAGTGATAATGTCTTTGGTATCTCTTGATGAACAATGTTACACTGTGTTCATTGGGCTCTCAGTGAAGGAATTTTGCTGTGTCTCTTCTCCATGATAATTGTATTGACTTTCCCCAGTAGAGGACTCCAGAATTTCTATGTGGCCAAATGCAGTGATGCAACACTACTACCAAAGTAACACATCCAAGTGGCTAGAAATCAGAGAGCTTGACTAGGTAGTTGCCACAGGGTACTTGACTGATACTACGGGCAGATGTAACTCTGAGTTACCCGAAGTTTTCTTTATGTTGAACTTGGCTGTATTTTATTTTCATAACCTCATTACCTCTTTCTATCTGAGATTATCAATAATGATCTTGGTAACAGGGGAGTTTTATTTGTTATTGTCTGAACAGAAAAATTAACTACCTCTTTTCTTCCCTTTTTTGCTTCCTTCCTCCTTCCCTCTCTTCCTCTTTCCCTTTCTTCCTTCCTTCTTTTTTTTTTCGTTCTCTTACATTAACTTTTTACTGTGTGTGTCATTCGGATCACAAAAACGAGTAAGATATGGGCACTGATCTTAAGGTATACTCATCCAGTAGCGAGTGGGTATGGGATAAAACTCAGAGAGTGGTGTTGAAAACAATCACAGTAATAATATCGACCCCATTTAATTCTGCAAGAGGTATGGAGTATGCCAAAGGTACAGCAAGGCACTGCAGAGCAAAATACAAATGAGACAGTGTTTCATGCAGTTTAAAACATGATAAGAAAAAGTTTTTATATAACGTGTGTCTCTATTGCCAAACTGTTAGTTAGCAAAAATAATGGATGCAAAAGTTATAGTTTCTGGAATCATAATTAAGTGTAAGAAAATGAAATACCCAGCCTGTGTTTCTGGATTTTGGGCAATTCTTTATGTTCCTTCAAACAAAATTTTCCTAAGTCCCCGCGTAACCATCCATAATATTTTTAGCTCTCCAAAGGACAGATCCTCGTCCACCAAGCTCTTGTGTTAGGTGTGAGATTTCCCGAGGATATTTACACTTATCTGGCAGGGTGCCTCATAAGCAGTTTTGATATGAGATGTGGTTTCAACCACATCCCAAATTTATGTACAATTCATAAATAGTGAAAATTTGGGTTGTGAAACCCATAAATGTTGTCTATAAAACGTGGGCACTCCGTCAGATACTCAGTGACATCCTGCTTAAAACTGTTGATTATTAAGTTTTTATGGAGCATTTTTATACTGCTAGAGTAATCATTTTTATTGGCTTTTCTTTACAACAATCCACTGGCATTCGATAATATTTTCCTTTCTGCTTTTATATTCTGAGAATAGAGGCAAGGTAGAGGCAAAGAAAATGCATATTCTGCCCACAGACACATTCAGTGACAAACCTGGGATCAAACTGATAGAACTCTAAATTCTCACCTTAATTTTAGCCCCGGAGTTCTTTACATCTCTTTTAAGGTGCTCTTGAATCTCACTTCCTACATTTTCTCTTTTGCTTAGCAGTTGCAACCACGTTCTCATTATTGTTGGGCAATACCAACCAGGACTTTCCTGGGCCATCCTATGACCTGTGTGCCCAGAAAGATAATGCAGAGGAAAGAACGCTGAACTCGAATAAAGACACCACGGTTCTATTTCAATGTTTTTACTGACCAGCTGTGAGATTTTAGGCGAGCCATTGCTTTTCTCCAGGCTTTAGTTG